TTTGCTTTAATACTGAACAATTTCTATTTGCTAAGTTTCAACACCCAGAATTTTGTCTGAAACTAGTAAGCTTTAAAACTAATAGTGTCTTGTCAGGACCTGACCTGGACATTGAAGGATAGTGAATTCGAGACTACTTAAGATACTGAGAAATAATCACTGGGAAGTGCTTAGTCCTAAAAAATGAGATTTATATCTAAAGTTCATGGAGAATTCTGGAAGGAGCAGAAGGTCTGTATGAACATGAAGATAGGGAAAAGGACTACCATTTTCTGTATTTAAAACATAGTACAGCCACTACAAACATGAAACCACTATAGCTGCTATTGGACACAACTAGGTCTGTACAAGAATATTCGTCAACAGTCAGTCATGGGTCAGGAAGCCCTTCATCAGACATTCCTTCTCTTTGGGGGAACTTTTGAGTACTGACAGATTCTAGGAGATGGATAGTCATTGTTTTCGTTTGTATACCCACTGGTAAATCCACCAGGCTCCAATGGGTAGTTCCAAACTCATGATCACATAGGAGGTCTCAACTAAAATCAGTGAATCACAAAACAGAATAAAGAAAAGGGACTTGTGGATAAGTGGGGTGAATGACAAGGACAAGAAGGAGGTAATCATTTTCACATAATCCGGAAATGTTTAACATCCTCTCTGTTAAAAGTATTCATTGAGTGAGGCATCAATTCTGCTTCCATATAGTTCTCAAAGTACTTGGATAGGAAAATAGAACTAATTGCCTAAAGTAGATAATACAATAAAGCTTTTATATATGACCTATAACTATTGCAAACATATGAATAGACTCTTTTGTTATCATCCCAAATTAACACCCTTACAAATAGCTAACAAATAAATGTTTCTCTCAACAAATGAATGCTATGCAATCTAATACTTTCAGCTGCAATGTTCAAGTCCTCTCCTGAAAAGAAAGGTGTTTCTTCAAGATGTCAGATGTCTCCAAACTACAAAACCCTAGCTCATCAGACCTTATGTAAAATATGTATGCTTCTCTCTCTTTCACAATGTGAGGTTGACAAACAGTTCACCCCAAACTGCATGTACTTCATGTCTAATGCTTCTGCCCTTGTGGCAGAAAGTGATCACCTACCCAAGCTCTCACTTCTCATTATCCCATTTGCACCTGCCTCCTGGCTGTCAATTAGGGTTTGAGATGATTCTTTCATTGTCTTATGAGTTTTGGAACATTTTTCTCCTTATGGATTATGACTAGTGTTTATAAAGCACTTACTTTTCTGTTGCTATGATAAAATATTCTAGCAAAGTAACTTAAAGAAAAAAGGGGTTTATTTTATTTCAAAGTAGAGCCCATCTTGATTGGAATCCCCATCTCCAGGGGATTCGGTTAACACTAACAATCACAACCCCATCCCAGGTGAACCTGACACCTAAACACATCCATGTTAAGCCAGAACTTCCTCTTTCCTGTTCCCAAATGTGGACAATGTTTCCAAGTTTTGAGACGGAGCTTCCAGTGGATGAAATTTGGTACACAGGAGACCTCTCTTACTCTTTAACTTTGTTACAAGAGGTTTCTCTTTAATGGTGCCGATCTCTTTAGCAACTAGAGTTGCTCATTGACTCGTCTAATTTGAGGCCTATTCCAGGACACTGCCCATGTTCGACACTGCCTAGATGACCAGGAACTGGAAGCTGGATAGCCCAGAGAGACCTAGGAGCAATAAAAATCAATAAAATGATATTCTGCTATATTCATAGATTGTTGCCTAGTCCAATTGTTGTCAGAGAAGCCTTGTCTGGAAGCTTATGGGAGCAGATGTAGAGACCCACAGCCAAACATTAGGTGGAGAGAGAGCCCAAATTGGAGATTTCCACTGGGTCACTCCCCTTAGAGCTCAGGGAACTCAGCAGAAAAGAAGGAGGAAGAAAAGTAGGAGGAAGAGGGGTCAAGGACACTAGGAGAACATAGCCAACAGAATCAACTAAGTAGGGTTTATAGTGGCTTAGAGACTGAAGCAGCAATCTTGGAGTCAGCCTGGGTCTTCAATAGGTCCTCTACAAATATGTTATGATCGTTGTTTTTGTGGGACTCTTAACATCATAAGTTGGGGTACCTCTGACACTTTTGCCTGCTTTGGGGACTCTTCCTTCTACTGAGTTGTCTCACCAGCCCTGATATGAGTTTGTGTCTAGTCTTATGGTTATTGTTTAACCATGTTTGGCTGATATCTCTGGGAGGCCTGATATTTTCTGAAGAGAAACAGAGGAATGGATCTGGGGGAGAGGGAAGGTGGGGAGAGGAAACTGGGAGGAGTGGAGGGAAAGGATACTGCAGTAGGAATGTATTGTATGAGAGAATTATAAGTTACTTTCCCAGTACCAGCCTGAATATGCTCCTGCTTTGACATTTTTCTTTTTTATAAATTTTATTTAAATTAGAAACAATCTTATTTTACATATCACTCCCAGCTCCCTCTCTCTCCCATTCTCCCATGTCCCCCACAAATCTGCCCATCCCATCACCCACCCACTCCCCAGGGAGGGTGAGGCCTTCCATGAGCGAATCATCAAAATCTGTCAAGTCATCTGGGGCAGGGCCTAGGCCCTCCCCTGTATATTTAGGCTAAAAGAGTATCCCTCCATGGGAAATGGATTCCCAAAGTCCATTCATGCACTAGGAATACATCCAGGTTCCACTGCCAGAGGCCACACAGACTTCCCACTGCTCCTAGCTGACACCCACATTCAGGGGGCCTGGTTTGGTCCTATGTTGGTTCCCCAGCTGTCAGACTGGGGTCCATGAGTTCCCACTTTCTCAGGTCAGCTATTTCTGGGAGTTTTCCCACCTTGGTCTTGACCCCTTTGTTTGTCCCTCCTGCCTCTCTGAAACTAGATTCCAGGAGTTAGGCTCAGTGTTTAGCTGTGGATCTCTGCTTCTGCTTCCATCAGCTACTGGTTGAAGGCTCTAGGATGGCATTTAAGGTAGCCACATTCTCATTATAGGGGAAGGGAATTTAAGGTATCCTCTTCATTATTGCTTATGTTCCTAGTTGGGATCATCCTTATGGATCTCTGTACAATTCCCTAGTGTCACATTTCTCTTTCAGCACATAGTGGCTCCCTCTATTGATTTGTCTCTTCTCTTGCTCTCCTCTACTCTCTCCCCACTCAATCTTTCTTGTCCCTCATGTTCTCCTCTCCCCCTCCTCTTCTACCCTCCTCTTTTTCCTACTTCTTTTCTCCCTGCCCCCATGCTCCAAATTTGTTCAGGGGCTATTGTCCCTTTCTGCTTCACTGGGGAACCCTGAATATCTCTTTTATGGTCCTTCTTGTTTCCTAGCTTCTTTGGAGGTGTGGACTGTAGGCTAGTAATCTTTTGACTATGTCTAGAATCCATATATGAGTGAGTACATACCATGTTTGTCTTTCTGTGACTGAGTTACCTCACTTAGGGTGGTTTCTCCTAGTTCCATCCATTTGCCTGCAAATTTCAAGATTCTATTTTTTTTCTGCTGAGTAGTATTCCATTGTGTAAATGAAACACATCTTCTGTATCCATCCTTTGGTAAAGGGGCATCTAGGTTGCTTCCAGGTTCTGGATATTAGAAATAATGCTGCTATGAGTGGTTTCTCCTAGTTCCATCCATTTGCCTGCAAATTTCAAGATTCTATTTTTTTTCTGCTGAGTAGTATTCCATTGTGTAAATGAAACACATCTTCTGTATCCATCCTTTGGTAAAGGGGCATCTAGGTTGCTTCCAGGTTCTGGATATTAGAAATAATGCTGCTATGACATGGTTGAACAGATGTCCTTGTTGTATGAAAGTGCATCCTTTGGGTATATACCTAAGAGTGGAATTGCTAGTTCTTGGGATAGACTGGTTCCCATTTTCCAGAGAAACCACCATACTGATTTCCAAGGTGGCTGTAGAAGGTTGCACTCTCACTAGCATTGGAGAAGTGTTTTCCTTTCTCCATATCCTCTCCAGCATAAACTGTCATTGGTGTTTTTGATTTTAGCCATTCTGATAGGTGTAAAATGATATCTCAGAGTTGTTATGATTTGTGTTTCCCTGATGCCTAAGGATGTTGATCAGTTTCTTAAGTGTCTATCAGCCATTTTAGATTCCTCTATTAAGAATGCTCTGTTTAGTTCTGTACCCCACTTTTTAATTGAATTATTTGGTGTTTTCATGACTAGCTTCTTGAGTTTTTTGTATATTTTGGAAATCAGCCCTCTCTCTGATATGGGGTTGGTGAAGATATTTTCCCAATCTGTGGGCTGCCATTTTGTCTTGATGACTGTGTTTTTGCCTTCCAGAAGCTTCTCCATTTCAAGAGGTACCATTTATTAATTGTCAATCTCAGTGTCTGTGCTACTGGCATTATGTTCAGGAAGCAGTCTCCTGTGCCAATTAGTTCAAGGGTACCTCCCACCTTCTCTTGTAAGAGGTTCAGTGTGGCTGGGTTTATGTTGAGGTCTTTGATCCATTGGGAATTAAGTTTTGCATATGGTGATAGATATGGTTCTATCTGCAATCATCTACATGGCCACATCTAGTTGTGCCAGCACCATTTGTTGAAGATGCTTTCTTTCCTTCTTTCTTTCTTTCTTCCTTCCTTCCTTTCTTTTTTTTTTTGGTTTTTCTGGGACAGGGTTTCTCTGTGTAGCTTTGGAGCCTGTCCTGGCACTTGCTCTGGAGACTAGGCTGCCCTCAAACTCACAGAGATCTGCCTGCCTCTGCCTCCCAAGTGCTGGGATTAAAGGCTTGCGCCAGCAACACCCAGCTAATTCTTTCTTTTTTCCAGTGTATAATTTCAGCTTCTTTGTCAAACATCAGGTGTTCATAGGTGTGTATGGGTTAATATCAGGGTCTTCAATTTGATTCCATTGGTCTACCTGTCTTTTTTTGCCAATACCAAGCTGTTTTCAGGATTATAGCTCTATATTAGAGCTTGAAGTCAGGGATGGTGATGCCTCCTTAAGTTCCTTTATTGTACAAGGTTGTTTTGGCTATCCCGGGTCTTTTGTTTTTCTATGTAAAGTTGATTATTTTCCTTTCAAGGTCTGTGAAGATACCAAACAAATAATTCCTTATCTTTAATTCAGCTTCACTGTAGCTTAATTTCACAATCATAATGAAGAAAAATCATTGAACAATATGTTACAGGTGTGATCTCTATCCCACTCCCCAGAGGAAGATGTATCACACTCTGAAACCTCATGAGTCAGGTCTTCACAGAGCCTATTAATTGGATAATACTTCTATACACTAAGAAGAAAAGAACTGACTATGTTCTTCCTATTTTCTAAAACATTACAGGCCTAAGCTGGTTAAACTAAAAATAAAATAAGTGTTTTTTTTTTAAATCTAGATCCAAACAGTCACAGCTTCTTATAACTGAAAGTTATAACTGCATATAAAGTTATAACTATTATAACTATCTAACTGAAACATAGACTCTGTTAAGATGTTACAATTGGGACATTTAATCTAAAATTTTCATGTTTATACCCACCCAGTTAGACTTGCTAGGCCCCACCTAACTCCTACCCACCTCTTCTTTACTCTCCAGGTCTTTAATTTTCCTCCCTGGCAATGTTCCCTAGCTATTCCTGGATTTATCTGAGTTGCTGTGCTACTGTTGTCAAATTTTAACTTGAATTCATGTGGACTTGGCATTATTCTGTCACTTCCTATAAGAGAGGTCAATATGGTCTTTCTTTAACCTTATATATAAGACAATCTCCCAGCTGTCCTGTAGGAAAGCCTCTTCTTTATTGGCTTCTTGGGAAATCCTGATAGAAAATAAAAAAGAGAATGCTTATTCTGGTTTGCTATGGACATGGACTTTTGGTGTTAGGTTTGTACATAATAGGACACATATATACTTCACTTGAAAATGTAATATATTCCACTGCTAAAGTCAATTCGATTAATTCTTAAAGTTTTAAATGCTATTTGTATTCAATGAATGGTCAACATAATGGAAAATCTGTTAGTATTCTTAAAACAGAGATATCTCATTCAGGCTTGGAGCAGACATGTCCTTTCTAGCAGAGGGGTGAGAAACAGTCAGTAGTTTATGCTGCATTCACCTCATATGACTGAAATTGAGATCTCATTACTTACAGAATGATACTTCATTAACTTTTAATTCGAGGCTGAAAGGAATAATCGGTAAGAATGACCTAGCTGTAAACACATGCCAACGCAAGTTCATGTGAATAGGCATGCTTGACTAAGTACTGAGAAAGTTACTACAGTGTCTTCTTGTATCAAACAGAGATCCATACTCTTGCCCTTTGAAGCTCAGTGCTCCTGAACTCACTGTGCCTCTAGAGCTATTCTGAGTGCCCATTCACTCAGCTGTGCACTGCCTCAGGCTGTCTGCATTTCCACTCCTACTAGTACAGGAGTATGACCTTCTTTCTCACTCCCCATCATAGCCTTTCTTATTACTTACCAGTAGCAAGGTAGACTTCTCATGCCCTCTTGTCTTTCAAAAAGCACAAAGAAACTGCTTCAATTAATAATGCACCAAACTTCATGACAAAATCCATGTCCTTGAAATGATTCAAGCATGAAATCTACTAAATGCAGAAATAAAACAGAATTTCTATACAAGGTCAGGCACATAAGAAAGTTAGATGAAGATGCTACCTACTCAATGCAAAGAAATAGAATTCATTTGAATGTGTATCATATCAGAAGCTAAGAGACAGACTCTAATAGACAGCACACACATGGATTCAAAAGTAGAACAGCTTATTCTGCCAAGGATTTCACTAAAACTATCAGTAATTAACAAGATGGAACCTAAACATGAGGTAAAGCAGAAATCATAGCATGCTGCCCTGTATCCAGCTCCAGCTCCTCTTAGTTTCAGAGCAAGAGACTGGTGCAGAGTTGCTGAGGGTCATCTAGACAAGTTGTGTTAGATATCTCAGAGGTGTTGGTCATTTTCTCTGCAATTAATCATTCCTCCTCTGATTGTTGTTGGAGCATCCAGTACTAATAGATATGGTCATTTCCCCAGTTCCCAGAGGCCTTTCTTACTCTCTTCCTTGACTTTTCAAACATAATAGGAAAGTAGACTGTTATCTATATCTCTTTCCTCATGTTTTGCCAAATGCCAGGGCTTTACAGATGTCACTGTGAAGCCCACCAGTGTAGACAGTCAATTCTACATTGTGCATCCCAGATTCTGTCTGAAATCAGATGGCATTGAAAAATCATTCCCCTGATAATGCATTTTTTCACTAGTTCCCAGGTTTCTGATCCCCTAGATGTTTCCATTGTTGTTCTGGTTTGTTTTCTAGTGTCCCTTTCAAAAGAACCCAATAGTATTTATGTTTCTATTTTACTCCCTGAATGGGTTTTCTTTTTGAACACATCTTGACCTAGATGTGACCTTGAAGCGTAACTGCCTTGTTCAATCAATAATGTTTTGACCACTTACTGTACAGTCATCTCTGTGTCAGGGACTGTGGAAGGACCCCAAAAAGAACAAGCAAAGCATACTCAGAGCTATTTGCTTCTTTTAGGGAGATTACACGAGGGAGTCTGAACTAATTAGAAAACCATTAGGAACTGAACTGTGAGAGTAAAGGCTGCAGAGAATGACAGGATTAACGAGAGCACCGGCTTATTCATGCCCCTTTGAGAAAATTCACAATGAAGGCAAAACGTGGGACAGAACATGGAAGAATGAATACAAGTTGATCAATGAGAAAAGAAAAAGGAATATTTCTAGGCGGAGGCCAGCAGAGCAAAGATTTAGCAGTGGGAGTAATCTTTCATCTTAATGACATGAATATTGGAGAATAGAGAAATAAACGTGGGTGACAGGTGGAGTGCTCGATCACACACGGCTGATGTGCAATGTCATATAGGTTGGCACAACAGTGACATAGTCAGAAACTATGAAAATTGTTTTCAAAGTACAGCCTGCAGACAGCCCACCTTAAAATAAGTGCTCTGATCCCTAAGACATAACACTGTTGTCACCACAAGATCTAGAAAGAACAGCATCCTCAGAACACAACACTCCCCAGTTCTGTCCTTTTACAATCTCAACTTTTTGTCATTTCTATGAATAGGCGGAAAATCACAAATTTTTTCATAAAATCCTTCTAGCTACACATTCATTTAAGACACAAGAGAACGTAAACACAAAATCATCCTCAACCTCACAAAAATACTGTGTTTCTCATTCTGAATCAGTATACACAGCATCAAACCCAAATATCTATGTTAACTAACACCCTTGCCAACATAGAGGTAAATTACAAAACTCTCTCTGCTTTCCCTGCCCTGACACCTTCAAGCATAACTGCATCACTATTTTCAGTTTAGGGCCTTTTTTGTCAATTCCTGTACTCTAAAAAAGTCAAATTTATTACTATTTCTTGCTGCACCACCAACAAATGGTATTTTCTAGCTGCATATTTATATGAGGAAAATGTTGTGTCTCCTGCTCTTCCAGCTCTACCCAACCCCTTCCCCTTAGAAACGACACTGACTTTCACATCATGAAGAAAAGACATGCACATTTCTGTGTGAACTCTCTAAATATATTTTGACTCTGGAAACTAAAAAACAAGTCACATTCCATCGCATGGTGTGGTTGCTGTTTGTTGGAGGAGCAAAGATGTTACTGGGGTTGCATATCCTTAGACTCTGTTTCAGAAAGAATCCCTTGCCAGTATTTTACATATTTTCAGTCTTACATTTTTCTTAAAGACATTCATATGTGGGTCTTAAAGATGACATTTGGGACAAACACGATTATGTGTGACCTAATAGATCAAACATCCTGATAAGCGCATGACAATTATATAGAAAATAAAAAAAAAATAGTGTCATGTGCTGTGGTGGCTTGAATAAGATGGCCTCCACAGTTTCATATATTTGCATAGTCACCAGCAAGTAGAACTATTTGATAGGATTAGAAGGCCTGGTCTTTTGGAAGGAAATGTTTCAGTGAGCTTTGATGTTTCAAAATCCCATGCCAGATCCAGTCTCTCTCTTAGCACCAAGCCTGCCATCATGCTGACATGTTCTCCATTATGATATGATAATGGACTAAACCTCTGACAATGTAAGCAAGGCCTAATTAAATGTTTTCACCTGTAAGAATTGTCATGGTCATGGTGTCTCTTCACAACAACAGAACAGTGACTAAAGCATATGCTATGAAGCAAAGTTATACAAGGCTATAAAGGGTAATGAGAATTCTTTATTATAGAGGGTGATATGGGCTGGTGAAATAGACCATTATAAGAATGTTGACATATTGGTATCTCTAATACATAAATGTCAAGGCCAAAGATTATGAGCACAGATGTGCTCAAAAAGGTTGATAAATCCTGAAAAGACATTGATATTGGAAGCAAATGGAGAAAGAAGAATAATAAATATGAAAATGGATAGTATGCCAACTGAGAGCCATGTCATTTAGATATTTAGAGGCCATGAGATAGATTTTCTCTTTGTGTTAGATGGGGGAACCACTTTGTCTTGGGAAAACAAGAAGCATATTCATCTTTATACGTTAAAACGATATATAGCGGGCACTATATAAAAACAAATGGTGGATGTTAGGAAAGGGAAGAGTGTGTGAGGCCCCTGAGCTGGTTTATCGATGCAGTGATGATCAGGTAGTATGAAATGGAGCAGTGGAGAGGAAAATCAGTTTTCATCAATGGAGTGGCACAGGGTTTGTCAGCAACGCCCTAGGGCAGTCTGCATGCTCAAGGGTAGTTGGCCAACTCAAAAGAGACTCCATCTTTTGTTTTTGTTTTATTTTAGTGTGTGTGTGTGTGTGTGTGTGTGTGTGTGTGTCTTAAGAGACACAAAGAATATAAAAGAAAAGAAAACAAACAAACAAAACATGGGTGATTTGGGAGGTCTTCCTACAGGCCCAGGGAGTAGTTCTGGTGCCCTGAACTGCAGCTCAGTTATTATTCAGGGACTGACTTTATTTGGTTGGTTGTCTGGGTAGTTCTGAATTCCCTGCTTTGTTTACCGCTCCATTATCAGAAGAAAGGACATTAGAATTCTTATCAGTTTGAGGCTTATTGTAAAACTACATCTGTTCAATAATTGGTCTTCATCCCAAATTCAAGAATTAATTTTTCTGTCAGAATTATCAAGATACTTCCTCATTGTCTTTCAACACCTGGTATTGCCATATTAATCTCCATTCCAAAGGTGTAATGCAATAGTGAAACTGGACAACTCTGTAAAGAAGAAAGGTTTTTAGTAAGCATATGTTTCTGAGGGTTGGGAGCAAGGTACCGGTACTGACTTGACTTCAGTGAAGCCCTCAGGTAGACCTCCTGGCAGATGTGAGCTAAAGAAAATGTGTGACAAATATGATGTCAAAGAGGACCCAGGTTATTTTTGAACTCTCACTGGTGACACAACCATTTAGAACAGCATAGTTGTTCCCAACAGCTTCTTTGAAGCTATAACACAGAAACTTAGCTTGAAAATGTAACCATAGCTATGACCTATGTCTGTAATTACTCAAAATGCTTACATTTTCTAGCATATAAATGCAATTTTAAAATATCTTACTTTGCCAGGTGGTGGTTTTGCACCCCTTTAGTCCCAGCACTTGGGAGGCAGAGGCTGGCACATCTCTGTGAGTTTGAGGCGAGCCTTGTCTACAAAGCTACACAGAGTAACCCTGTCTCAAAAAATAAAAAAAATATATGTATCTTAATGAGAAGGGACTCAGGAGATGTGTCAGAGGCCTGTTATCAGGCCCTGCTATTCTCATCCTAGTTTTCTGCTGGATGTGACAATGGGCTTACTTTATGGAGCTTGGCATCTGAAGGCTTGGAGTGGATTATTCTGTGACCAACAACACTCTCTATTTGTTCTGCTCTTTCCCAGTGTTCATTTATCAAGAACTTCCAAAAAGGAGCAGAAGGAAGAAGGTAATGGCTATAAAGCACATTTTTCAGTTCCACCCTTGTCTGCAAACACCAGCTGACTTAGCCCAGGGAGAAATCCTGCCATCTTCCTTCCCAAGGAACCCTGTAGAAAGATGCAGTGTATGGGGTATTTCATTTTTGTTTCCTTTCTGCAAATGCCTTAAGATAATTTTTAAAGTATATACATTATAAGAACAAAATACTGCCTGGTAGCTGACTTGACTGGACCCTGTGTTTTATTTTTTAAATACCAAGTACAGGTGAGGAATTCTTGTCAACTGAGAGTCACAGTATCTGGTAGTGAAAAGCAACTTGATTAATTGGTCTTTGTACTGAATTTTTATCCCAAGAGCTTTAAAAGGACACTTCAAGATTGAGTCAGCAACTTTCTCACAATTCAACATATTTTTTGTGTCTTTTCTTCTAATATTGTTAATAAATCTTAAAGTTATTACACCTGAGAATAATTTAGCAAAAGTAATCTCTCCCTCATTGTAAAGGTCTCTCTCTCTCTCTCTCTCTCTCTCTCTCTCTCTCTCTCTCTGTGTGTGTGTGTGTGTGTGTGTGTGTGTGTGTGTGTGTGCATGCGTGTGTGCATGTGTGTGTACTACAGGGTATGTTTATTCACTGCTTATTATATATTCAGC